TGATTGTAGGTCCTTGCTATTCAGCACTTTGAAAATTTCTTGCCACTCCCTTCTGGCCTGCGTAGTTTCTGTTGAGAAATCAGCTGACAGTTGTATGGGTACTCCCTTGTAGGTAACTAACTGCTTTTCTCTTGCTGCTTTTAAGATTTTCTCTTTGTCTTTAACTCTTGGTATTTTAATTATGATGTGTCTTGGTGTGGGCCTCTTTGGGATTCTCTTTTTTGGGACTCTGTGCTTCTTGGACTTACAAGTCTGTTTCTTTCACCAGGTAGGGAAGTTTTCTGTCATTATTTCTTCAAATAGGTTTTCAATATCTTTGTCTCTCTCTTCTCTCTCTGGCACCCCATAATGTGAATGGTGATACTCTTGAAATTGTCCCAGAGGCTCCTTACACTATCTTCATATTTTTTGGATTCTATTTTCTTTTTGCTGTTCAGATTGGTTGTTTTTTGCCACCTCATATTCCAAATCATTGATTAAATTATCAGAATCATCTATTCTGCTGTTAAATCCCTATAAAGTATTATTTATTTTAGTTAGTGTATGTTTAATTTCTTTTTTTCATGTTAAAAATATTTATTTATAAAAAATACAATGGGATAAGTTTATGCGGAGAAATTTAGCAATAAATACAGCTGAAAACAGAGCAAGTCTACACCAATACACTGGCACAATGGGAAGGGCACATGCACCACCCAGACCCACGTGTCTGCGGGTCCAGAGGACTTGAGAAACACCAGGTGAGAGAATGAGGACACATATAATCACCAATGCACTCAGATCATTAGCAAGCAATACTGTAGAAACTTTAATCTGTGAACGTCTAAAATCCTGCACCTTCAGTTTAGTTGGCAGACACCACCTTCAGCTTAATTTCTGACTGGTCCTTTTTTATGTCTTTGATGTTCTCACTAAGGTTCTTGAAATTCTCACTAAGTTCCTTGAAAGTTTCACTAAGTCCCTTGAAGTTGTCATTAAGATCCTTGAGCAACCTTATAACCATTGTTTTGAACTCTGTATTTAGTAGTTTGTCTGCTTTCATTTCATTTACTTCTTTTTCTGGAGATTTCTTCTGTTCTTTCATTTGTGACATGTTTTTTTGTCTCTGCATTTTGGCTGCTTCCCTGTGTTCACTGAGTCTGCCCCTTGAGTGTGTCACTGTGGATGTGTAGAGTTGTAATCTAATTTGGTCTGGAGCTGTCAACCACTGCCTGGGGCCTTTGGGCAGGAGCTACAGAGAGATCTGCAGATGGCTGCTACTTGGAAATGCCCAGGCGAGGTCAAGCTGTGAAGCAAAGCAGACTTAGGTTTCTTATTGATCGATTTGGGGCACACTGATGTCAGATGCTGCTTGTTTAAGAGATTTTAAAAAAGTCTGAAGCCTGAGCCAGGATAGGCCATTCCTATAGAAAAGCCACTGCAAACAGATTGGATGGCACTGCAAATTGGATGGGGCAGGATCTTGGCAATCACCAGGGCAGACTGAACAGTGTGAGCCAAGCTGATGGAAATCAGATATGGCTGCCAGTCAGTTTTGCAAGGGGGAGGTCCCAGCATAGGAATAATAACCTCTGTGAACTCCCCTGTCTGGAAGAAAACGGCCCCTGAATTCTTGCCCTGAGGCCAGAAAATCCAATTCCTCCCTGAATGTCCCAGGTTCCTTTCAAGCTGCCGCTCCAGTGCTGGAGCTCAGAGAAATCAAGTCCGAGTAAGTTCGTGCTCTGGCCCTTTAAGAAGAACATGTGGGTCTCCAGCTGCCTATGAGTCACTCAGCCACAATTCCCACTGGTTTTACAACCTGAAATTACAGGGACATCTCTTCCCAGCTCTGTAACCCTGGGCTGGGGGGTCTGGTGTGTGTGTGTGGGGGGGGGCTCTAACTCCTCCTGGGAGGCTTCCACAGAGATGATCTCCCTCCTGATTAAAACCACACCACACACAGGTGTTGGACCAACCCATTCCATGTCTCCACCCCTCCTACCATCTCAGTGTACTTTCTTATTTACTTCTCTCATTATAGGATTTCTGTTCATCCAGATTTCATGGTTGTTCTGTATTTTAGTTGTAATTTTAATGTTATTATCTGAGGTGGTGAGTACCAGCATTTACCTACACCACCATCTTGGTTCTCCTCCTGACCCCTGACATTTGCAAGTCCCTTTCTTGTTTCCTCTTCTCTACCCCCTTCTCCTTACCTTTCCTTCACTTTCCTCCTCTGTCCCCCACTCTGTAATCAATCATTGGATGAATAATTAGCCAGTGAAGCCTGGAGAATATCCAAGTATTAAACATTCTGTGTGGCATCCCTCACCCTTCTCTTTCCCCCAGACTTCACTTTTCCCACCTGACTCTTCTACCTCTAGGAGCTTTTGCTGGCTTTTGAGTAACTTAGACTCTTTTTACTATATTGTGCTCTATCCTATGGTCTTTGTTATTTTTCTGTGAGATTGTATATTATACTACTTAGGTGGAAATTTAGTACAATGCACTGTAGTTTTTCTACATGGTATCCGTTCTAGATGTCTTTGTACGTTAATACCCATTATTAAGTGGTAATGAATGGATTAATACTATCTGAGATTTGGGATTACAGGCCAGTCCCAAATATGGTTTCTCTGGGATGATGATGTTTAATTTGTTGTGCTCAAATGTTTAATTCTTTTGGTTCTAATAAATTCTTTTGGTTTCCTCTCTTTTCTGCTCTAGTCCCCAGTTTCCAGAAGCACCTGATTGGTATATTCGTCATGTTAACAGTAGTGATTACCAGCTCTGTTTTCATCTATAAAATCTTCAAGGTTGACATTGTGCTTTGGTACAGGGATTCTTGCTATGATTTTCTCCCGAAAAAAGGTACAATTTTTATTTTCTTGTTGAAGAGAGGGGATAGTTAAGAGATATAGAAGATAACTAAGAGAGTTTTTACTTAAATTTTAAAATGAAATTTAACATATATAAAGATAGTAGTTATTCTTATATATAATTACAGTTTCATAACTGAGCAGACTGACATTGTTTTCCAAGTTACTGCTTTAGGCTCATAGTGGTGGGGTCAATGGTATTGAGAGTGTCTTCATAAACCTGGTTACTGAGGACCCGCTCTGTGCTGGGCAGAACACAGATCACCCAAGATTGCTATTAAATCAAAGAAAGGACTCAATCGTCATGCATGCACTCTCTCTTGTTTAAATCTTGGAAAAAATGAAGCTGCAATGATACATAGAAGGGAGAATGGTAGAATTGGGTGTTGTGGCGTGGGGAGGGAGACGAGAACTGGAGGTCATTCCCATGCAGAGAGGTGGAGGGCGCTCATGTGGGTGGCCCTCAGTAACATAAGAACAGCTTTGCAGTAAACTCAACAAAGAGACACTTGTCAGGGTACAGCATTTGAAAAAGGTGCGCTGTATTTTGTATTGAAACTTCATTCATACCATCATATGAAATAGTAATTCATTCGGAAGTGCATGTTTGCTATATTGACTTTACCAAACCTCTTATTTTTCCTTGTGGTTCTAAAATATCACATTTCCCCTTTAGATTCAGACGGAAAAACCTATGATGCATACATACTGTATCCAAAGACCCTTGGAGAAGGGTCCACCTCCAATTCAGATATTTTTGTGTTTAAAATCTTACCTGAGGTCTTAGAAAAACAGTGTGGATACAAGCTGTTCATTTATGGAAGGGATGACTACGCTGGGGAAGGTATGAACGGAGAAGTAAAAATCTCGTTTTGAAACTAATTTATCTATTAAATTAACTGGGTTAATTAAATTGGGTTTCATCTTTCTAGATGACTAGCATAGGTAACATATTTGACAATTTTAAGACCCTCTTCAGTGGTGCATAATGATGATTTTCACATTATTTAATGCAAAATATTTACTTTTCTCATATTTTGTTGAAACAACAATTAACTAAGTTGTGCTTCGTTTTGGAAAACGTAATTGCTAGTTAGATCTGAAAATTGCTTTACAGCCGATACAGTAAAATAAAAGAGGAGTAGGTCAACCGGTTTACCAACCAGATTTTAAATTCCTACTGAAAGTGCTCTGAGTCCTAAGAGAATGCTCAGCTTCTGGGGCCAGTGTTTAGAGCTGGTCTCTAAGTGGGACCCTCCTTTAACCCTAAGTAAGGCAAGTGTTGGGGACACGGGGTTTGGCTCTGGAAAGAATGATTGTAAATAGAAGTTGCACTTACCCTGCCATGCTTTGTGGTTCTCAGACATTGTTGAGGTCACAAATGAAAACATAAAGAAGAGCAGAAGGCTGATTATCATTTTGGTCCGAGAAACGTCGGGATTCAGCTGGCTGGGGAGCTCGTCTGAAGAGCACATCGTGTTGTACAACGCCCTTGTCCAGGATGGGGTCAAAGTCGTCCTGCTGGAGCTGGAAAAGATCCAGGACTATGAGAAAATGCCCGAGTCCATCCAGTTCCTCAGGCGGAAGCAGGGGGCCATCCGCTGGTCAGGGGACTGGACGGCAGAGAGGTCACAGTCTGCAAAGACAAGGTTCTGGAAGAAGGTCCGGTACCACATGCCTGCCCAGCAGCCCCTCCAGCCAAGCGCCAACTGCTGTCTGCAGCCCCCAGGCCCGACTCCAGGGAGAGACTGCGAGGGGAGGGCCCCATGCCTCTCGGGTAGCTGGTGATGCCTGTCCTGTGGTGCTGGGCTGGGCGGGCCTCGCTGATATACATGCAGAGTGCACTTGCATGACCCTTTACCCCAGGCCACCTGGAGTCGGATGGGTAAGGGCAGGATGGTGACAACAGCAGCCCGGGCAACTCAAAGCAGAGGGGCGGGGAAGGCCTTCCAGAGGCCGCCGCTGCCCTCTGGGTGTGTGAGCTGCCGAGAAAAGGCCCGGGAGAGCCAACAACTGGAAAGAACATTCAGGAAATGCATTTGTGGAGTCACTCGCAGTTCCAGGGGCTGTGCCCAGATGGGACTGCAGGGCCCCCTGAGTGGCCGGGGCGTGGGAAGACATTGGAGGACTGGCCACTGGCCTGGCATTTTTCATACACATCTGCAGCCAGCAGCCGTTTCCAAAGACTGAATTTCATTGTTTAGACCTTTAAAACTGCCATTTCAACAAAAAAAGAGATTCTCCAGGATTTCAAGGTTTTAAAATAACCTTAGCTTTCCACTGGGGAGAGGTCAAAAGCAAGAGTAGCAGAGAAGGGATCCTCTCCTGCTGCCCCCGGGATGGCCATGCTGTCCCACCTTGTTCTTCTGCATTTCACTTGGCTCTTTACTTTGGAAGGACAACTTCCAAGTCACTTCCTCCTCCCCTGGGTCACGCACACGGCCCACAGATTAACCACCATCCTGACCACCGCTGTCCTCTCAGCCGCAGTGCCGGCGCTCCTGGCTCAGGAGCAAAGCCGGGCTACCATTGGC